CGTCGTCGTCGGATGCGTGTGATTGTGGTTGTGAACGCCCCCGGTTCCTGTGTTTCCGGTGTTGGCGTAGACGTAGCCATCGTAGTCCTGCACCAGCGTGTGGTCCAGGTGGTGGCCCTGGTGGTGGTGGTGGTGTTGACCACTGCGGGAGAAGCCGGAAGAGCAGCTCAGCAGGTGTCTGATCTGCGCCCGCGTCCGCCGGGAGGTGAAGTAGACGCCGAAGATCCAGATGAGCCAGATGAGGGCGCCGGCGAGCAGGAGGACGACGATCTGGTCGACGAAGGCGAGCGTCTCGGCGCTGCTCGTGTCCGCCGGGTAGATGATGGTGAACTTCACCACGGTGAAGATGATGATGAGGACGAGGGTGACGAAGAGGGTGATGATGAGGCAGGTCATCGACGGTTTGGGCAGGAGGAAGTCGCAGCAGAGGAGGAGGGACTCCTGCTCCGCCGGCGTCCCATCCGGACCGTAGCCGTAGGTAGAGGTGACCATGGAGGTCATGGGCAGGGGGTTTCCGGCGCTGTCGACGTAGGAGGAGCCACCGCCGACGCCCATTGCTCCGTAGGCGCCGCCTCCTCCCAAGTGAGAGTGGGCGCCTCCGAACATTCCTCCTCCTCCTGCTCCTCCCATTCCTGCTCCAGCTCCTCCTCCTCCTCCAGCCGCTCCCTGCGTTCTCAGGTAGAGCATCCTCTGCTGCTCGGTCATGGCGGCGATGTCACCAGGTCGAAGACCTCCAGCTCCTTCCGTTGGCGGCGTCGCATCTTTCATGTACTCCCCGGTAATGGGGTCGTAAGGATAGTATAGTTTTCGGTAGTAGTCGAGGTTAGAGGCGTCCAGGCCGTAGGGGCCGCCGATGCCAAAAGGGTTCTTTGCCGGCGGAAGTGGTCCACCGCCGGCGCCTCCAATTGACTTTAGCGCCAGACTGTTGGGCGGCGGTGGCATTGAAGAGCTGCCGCCTCCGCCCATTGTCGAAGAGACGGCGGCCAGTGCGGCGTTGTTGGCGTTGTACGGTATGGCGCCCATGGCCGCCTGTTTGCCGCCCATTCCCTGCTGCTGCTGCTGCTGCTGTTGTGATTGCTGTGATTGCCCATAGGTGGACGATTGATATGTTGAGGAGCCCATTCCACTCGATTGCTGGTACTGGCTGGTACTCGATTGCGGTTGCTGCTGCTGCTGTTGATAAGGGTACGAAGAGGAGGAGGTTGAGGCGTAAGGTTGCTGCTGTTGCTGTTGTTGTGTTTGCTGCTGCTGCTGATAAGGTGTAGTAGTGTGGTAGTGTGGGTCGACCTGACGGAAAGTTGTTGATAAAAAAGATTGCAAAAAGGGGTTATCAAACATTTTAAACTTTTTTACTTTACTAATCAAAAACGAAAAATGTCATTTTAATGTTTTTACCTGATGTGTCGCACCGCTGTGATATCCACTAGACGATGATATGTGTTGCTGCTGCTGCTGCTGCTGATGGTGAAGTTGAGAGGAGCCACCTCCAAGGTATCCATTTTGATGCTGATATCCACCACCACCACCACCAGCACCAGTATCACCCCCATAATGATCATATGATCCGTGACCACCACCACCATAGTACGGCGGATGATTATGCTGTGCAGTGGTGGTCGCTGCGACAGTTCCGGCAGTGTTTCCGCTATATCCACCTCGATCATAAGCACTGGAACTTGTTTGACCGCCATAACCACCGCTCTGGCCATATCCGGTTCCTTGTCCATATCCGCCTTGACCATAGGTTCCACTGTTCTGAGCATTTGCCCCTGATCCTCGATTCCAACCCGAATCTCCGGACTGATAGTTTCCGGCTGCACCGTACGAAGAGGAGTAACTCTGCTGCTGCTGGTGTCCAGAGCTGTAGCCGTAAGGATTTTCCGAATAAGAGGAACCCCCTTGCTGGTAACCACCACCGCCTCGAATGCTCGACGACCTCATGATTGATTTTGGTTTGGTAGGAGCGCCGCCTAAACTTCCTGCACCACTGTAAGGTAGCTGTTGTTGTTGATAAGGCTGATGATAGGGCTGATGATAGGGACTGTAGTACTGGTGATGCTGCTGGTGCTGGTGCTGCTGGTACTCGTACGGCGGTGGCGCCGACTGACACCGAACGCCACTACTGCTATGGGGATATCGTTCAGAACCGTACGCACCACGCCCGTAATATGGGTCCTGGTGGGGGTGTTGATAAGAAAAGGGAGGAAATCGACTGTACGACTGATTGTACGGCTTTTGACTGCCGTAGTAGTTGCTTCTGTAGCTGCTGCTGTTGTACGGGTCTGAGTGATGATAGTTGGATTGATAGCCACCACCGCCACTACTGTACGGCGTCATGGGCAACGGCGCCGACCAGCATCGTCCGTTGGCTAGCAGGCCGCCGCCTCGGTACGGCGNTCCGTTGGCTAGCAGGCCACCGCCTCGGTACGGCGGAAGGTAGGCGTTCGGTTGGTGTTGATAAGGTTGAGATTGAGGATGGGGGTGTTGATAGTAGTTATCAACAGCTACCGCTTGTCGACTGTAGTGTTGGTCGCCGCCGTAGTTGTAACCGGAAGAAGAGCCAAAGTATCCGGCGTCTCCGGCCGAGTAGTGTCGAGGACGAGAAAAGTTCTCCCGAACTCCTGCAGTGGAGTTGTAGTAGGCAGAAGGCTCGTACGTTGGGTGGTAATACTCTGAGTGCTGCAGAGAGCGGTTGCTGCTGCCGATTCGATTTCGTTGATAAGAGGATAANTCGCCGCCGTAGTTGTAGCCGGAAGAGGAGCCAAAGTATCCGGCGTCTCCGGCCGAGTAGTGGCGAGGGCGAGCAAAGTTCTCCCGAACTCCTGCAGTGGAGTTGTAGTAGGCGGAGGAAGAGGACTCGTACGTTGGGTGGTAGTACTCAGAGTGCTGCAGAGAGCGGTTGCTGCTGCCGATTCGATTTCGTTGATAAGAGGATAACTGCTGCTGCTGCTGCTGCTGCTGCTGATAGGCGGAAGGTTCACGACTGGTGTACGAGCGATCCACCGATCTTGAGTAGAAGGGCGACTGCTCTCGAAAACCGAGGTATCGACCACCTCCTGCACCACCACCACTGCTTTGATAAGCCAGTTGATCTCTTCGTCCTCTGTCGCCGCTCAGGGCCCTAGGTCCTGCTCCTCCTCTTGTTCCTCCGTAGTAGTTCCGATCGTAGTCGTAATCGGTGCCGTAGTAGTCGGAGCCCAGCGCCGGATAACTCCTCGACACCTCTCGGTAGTAGTCCACCGGATTGTACTCCTGGTAGTAGCTCGGCGAGTGGTAGCTCTCGTTCAGCTGCGGATAGCTGGCTGAGGTGTAACCGGAAGTTCCAGTGACCGTGTTTCCATAGTTTCCTCCTCTTGTGTAGTAAGGATCACCCCGGGTAGACCTCGGGTACACATCCTGGTCATAACCTCCTCCTCCTCCTCCTCCTCGTCCTCTGCTGCTACTTCGATATCTTAGGTTAGCTGCTGCTGAAGAGGGTTGATTGTATCGTGAATATCCTCTAGTGTAGTAATCGTTATCTTGATTGTACAACTCTCTTTGTCGGTATCTGCTACTGTTGTCCAGAGTCAAATCTGCTGGCAGGTAGTCGTAGTCGTTTTGCTGTTGTCCATAGTAGGCGCTGTTCCGGTTCGAGTGGGCGTAGTACTCTCGATTGTAGTCGGTATTTCTGGTGCCTGCCGCTGCTGCTCGGCCGTTGTAGTAATCTCGAGAGGAGTACCGATCTAGCGGGTAGTCGTACGAGTACCGCTGCTGAAGTTGCTGCTGCTGTACAGAACTGTACGGCTGCTGCTGTTGATAACTTAGCTGAAGATGACTTTGAGAAAGTTGTTGTTGTGGCTGATGCTGTTGCTGGGGATAGCGATTGTAGCTCTGCTGTTGGTAGTAGTCGTCGTGGTACTCGGTAAACGGATGTGGCCGACTGCTGGTAGCCGACGGAAACGGTTGACGCGGCTGCCTGGCTGAGCGATCTCGATGGCCGCCGTAATACACGTCTTGAGAAGTTGCAGTTCCGGCGGTTTTTCCCGACAGGTATCCACCTCTGAGAATGCCACCACCACCACTAGCACCTGCACCTCGATAGGAGGACGGGTATCGGTAGTAGTCGGCCGAGGCTGAGCGGTAGTTGGTGCCTTGGCGGTTTGCCTGAACTCCTCCACCTTGCTGAAAAGAAGTTCCCTGAGAAGTTGCTGCTGCTGCTGAAGAGTAGTTTCTAGAACTGCGAACTGCACTTCGAATTGAATTTGCTGCTGCTGCTCCTGTTTGCTGACTGTAATTAGGTATTGCTGCTGTAGAAGTGGCTGTGGCTGACTGTGGCTGAAAATTAGTAGTATGCTGTGTCTGTTGCTGTTGCTGCTGCTGAGGTTGAGTGTACTCTCTGCTGCTGCTGCTGCTGTAAAGGGTACTGCTGCCTGCTGCCTGCTGCCCACTGTACATATTACTTCTCGGGGCAGGAAAGGTCGTCGGCCGGAGAGGAGGTCACCGAGAAGGGGGAGAAAAAGAAAAGTGGACGAAAAGAAAAGAAGAGAGGAGATGATTTGCGAATAAAACAGAATGTGCTCTGAGGATGTGATGGAAGATGAGAGCAAAGGGGGGGAGGGGGTGAAAAGTGGTGATTGTCCTAGTCACTGTCACCGATGATAGTGATGATAATGATGATGATGTTGGTGGTGGTTAGGATGACAAACAGTGGAAACAGCGAATTGAGTTGAGATTTAAATTTTTGAGTTGTCTGTTGGACTGCCTGACTTTTTTCCTACAGATTAATCAACTGATGATTTTGGGCCAATTTTTATTCTCAACACATTCTGACAATGAACTGGAGCTTTTTTATGAGTGAGTGAGTGAATGAGGCAGTCAGCGAGGAAAAAACGTTTGTCCACTGCGTTTGGCTGTACAGTAAGAAACAAAAATACGAAAAATAAAAAAGGGTAAGAAAGATGATTTATTTGTTGCGTGTTTGGGGGTGGGGGGGTTCTCATCTTTACTCTGACGCACGCACAGACACTGTAGAAGAGATTT